CAATCCTCCTTCCTCATTTCCTTGCGCTCTATGTATGATGCCTAATAAAGCTGTCTCAACTAATCCTCCCCTGAAGCCCGAGGTTTAGGGGCCGTCTCTACCGCCTGCTAACCAATCTCAGCAGGAATGCAAATGCTTGAAGTCTCCTAAGTGTTTGGCGAGCCAAGGCGACAAGCTATGCATATGCTCGTTTTCTGCAACCACTCCAGCTTATACACTATTTTCACGAACTCAGAGTAAAAGCTTCTTGCTTTGTGATACCACTTCAGCCCTATTGAACAAAATGAGACACAGAAGAAAAAAATATGGACGTTTCCATGCTGTTCCCTACATGCTAATTTTCACTAATGACCTTTCACTGTAAGTTATTTTGCTGTGAATTCGTACACCCTGCGGAATCATAAAGGGAAAGCCCAATTTGTAACGCCCACGGTAAGGTCCGTGAGAGTGGGTATCTTTAATTTATTTGATTATTTTGGGAGAAGAATGTAAAATAAAGCATTATCTGATTGCTCACAAGTCCTATACGATTTCACAATGGAAAAGTGTCACTCAAGCATAACTTGACCTGAGCTTACGCAGCCTTAGGTGATCCACTCCAGAAGCTCTAGATTGGGATGTCACACAGTCATTTCGTGCGACGACTCGCAGTGGAGGTATACTTCTGCACTTTCAGTTATCTTCCACTTTGCAGTTGAATTTGAATTGAGCGGAAGACAAAAACCAAACAAGGTGAGTCTGACAAGCGGGTTAAAGCATCTCATATCTCCGATCAGAGCAGAACCGTGACTAGTTGCAGACACGGAGTAGAAAAAGTCATCAATTCTTCCAACTTTTTGGACCATTTATGCTTTCACATGCATAATGAGCCCTACTATACCGATTTAGTCCTTTTCGCAACCACATCGAAGGCCATAAAGGTTCAGATACCCGACTAGTGGCTAGTTGTTTCGGAGCCATTTCCCATATTTTAAAATAGCTACCTCACAGGAGTGTACCATAGAAGATGCGAGCGCGACAAAAAGCCCGACTCTATTTGCATACGACCAGCGTTTGTGTACATATGAGAAAGCTTCATCACAGACAAGTCCCACGGCTTAGTAAGTTTATCAAATCTGAGTACAGCACGTTAGCCGAGCTCATAACCTGCGGAGTTTATTAGCTTCAAGGAAAAACATTTAAAGGAAAAGGACAGGAAAAGCAGGATAACGAGGCCGGTTAAGGAGGGTAAAATACTGCACGCAAATAAATCGATGCCGTAGCAGAATACAAAAGAGTGCAAAGAAAGCGGAGGAGACTTCAGCATCTACCCAATCGACTTGAGGTGGGATGATATATAGAAGGGAGAACGAGTGACTAATCGTCGAAAAAGGACACGAAATGACCGGAAAATGGTGACGGTGATATTTTATGAAAAGATTTGCGCTGGAGTGTGTAGAGTTCAAGAAGGCGTTCGTACACGGAGGCGGCAAATTTCGGGGTAAGCAAGTGTGCAGATTGTCATCTCTTAAAAACGAAGGAGAGCAGAGTAGGTGAGAGACGGCGGCGACAACAATGGAGAAGCCGCTGAACTTTGTACGGCTTTGACGGACGAAGGAACCAGAAGTAATGATTGGTAGCTGAGGAAGGGAAGAAGGCATCTCTGCCTAACAGATAATACATTTCTTCTTTGTCCGTGCCTTTTTGGGGACCGGTGTTCGGTTGTTTATTTGTCGTACCAAATCAAAGAAAACCTAAAGTACATCGCAGAGAGACAAATTGGTGTGGTTTAAACAATCCCCACGTCAAAAACACCAGCGATTCATTTAAAACCGTCTTGCAACTTACGAGCTTATTTGTCGGTCGATTCGTAAGCTAATGACAAAAACCGCTCAAAAAGAGAATATGGTTTCACATAACAATTCGTCTTCCACCAAAATCCATAGCTCTTGTTTGTAAACAGCGTTCCATACCCTCAGGAGGAAACCGTTACGGACATATCATCACTAAACCTAATGAAGAGATTTAATCTAAGAGGAACTAAGCGAGTGGAAGCAATCATGTAAAACCAAATATACACTCTTCTATCAGCCTTTACAACAGTCTAGTAAGGCTATGTGTGTTAAAAATACAGACGGTAAAAGGTTACATATCCCGCACTCATTGCATTTATTAGAAATTATTTTAAAAAAGACCACAAACAATAAAGACATCTTCATTACA